GATTGATAGATGATAGATAGATAGATATAGATAGATAGATAGATAGATAGATAGATAGATAGATAGATAGATAGATGATAGATGATAGAAAAATGATAGATGATATAGATGATAGATAGATAGATAAATGATAGAGAGATAGATAGATGATAGATAGACAGAGATGATAGAGAGATAGATGATAGATAGATAGATAGATAGATGATAGATAGACAGACAGATAGAGAGATGATAGAGAGATAGACAGACAGAGAGAGAGAGATGATAGAGAGAGATATTCGGTTAAATCTAAATTTCACATACAAGAGAAAACATGTGCTGCCTTTTCTTTCCCTCTCCCCCATGACTCTACAAAAATTGCCTTTTTTCTTCACAACTTCATGGAGAGAACATTCCTTCTGGCCATACATCTTAACAATCTCAGCTCACAATCAATTTCCAGTTCTTCTCATACATCAAGCACTTTCACCTTTTCACTTAACTGAATGACTCTAAAGCTTCTCTTTAGCATATACACATTGCCAGCATCACCACTCTTCCACTTCGAGGCCACCATTAAGAGGTCACTTGAGGACAAGCACTGTAGTACCATGGCAGTGGATCTTGCTGACCAGTATGGCTACTATGTAAGAGGCTAGTAGCATAAATAACATGAATATGCTGGATAAAGGGATGGTCCACATCAGTCCAGGCAGGATGGGGCAGGATGATGAGATTGTGTCCCATTACTCAGACATTATGTAATCTGTGATTTAAATCGTTCAGCTTTTCTCTACATTTGAAACTACTGTTAATATGATAGAAAATCAAGATGTTCAACATTCTAATAGCACACCATTAGCAGATGTAAACATGTTTGAATCCCTGCTGCACTTTGCTTTCAGCGAGCCCTACCATCTTGTACTGAAAAGGAGTTTGAATTTGGGGAGGACTACCTTGCTCCTTTTCAGACTTATTCCATATTGTAAACACCAACTACTTTCTTCTTACAGGTGCATTTAAGTCTTTGCCTGGAATTCAACCTGGTGCCTGTATGAATCATGGACTTCGCAAACTGAAATGCACTCCCCCAAAAGGTTCAGTCACTTTCCTACCTCTAACCTCTCCTACAATGGGCTAAAAAGAATTAATGTTTACTGTTGAGCTAGAAACTTTCAAGCCACTGATCAGATTCATTAGACACTGAGTCAGTCAATCAAACTCCTGAGCAGTTTGTTTACCTGTTGTGTAATGTGTTATGGGACAATGGTTTTTCTTGTCATTGTCATTTACATAACATCAAAATGTCTTCTTGTGGGCATTGCTGTCAAGTAAAACAACTTCTCCAGCAGCCATTATATCAAACTTCTCCAACTATTACAATGCTTCTTGACCTAATCAGAATCACCAGGCAAACTAGAAAATAGCAAGGATCAGCTCTCCTCACGGAGATCTAACATAACTGATCAAAGATGCAACCAAGGCATAGGGAATTTTGTAGGCAGATGATTCTAAAATGCTCTGCTCCTGAAAGAGTAACACAAGTATTCTTAATGTCTCAATATTTAAGAGACACCCCTGAAACACTGTTTGGTTTTTCACTAACGCCTTCTAATGTACATCATGTCAACTTGGATGATTTGAGAAGGGTTATGAAATGGGCTAATCCTCAAATGTTAAATCTGTGGATAGGACTCTTTTCATCTCAGGAATTACAGACAGAGAAATGATGCCTTTTAATAGGGCAAGTCAGGGTCTGGCTATGTAGGCCAAGCTGGCCTTGAACTCCTGATCTTCTGCCTGCACCAAGTGCTGAGATTAATGTATGAATCACAGTGGCCTGCTCAGATATCCATTTATTGTTTCCTAATTTGAGAGAAAGAGAGAGGAAGAGGGTGAGGTAAAGGTGGGGGGAGGGAAGGAGAGTGGGGAGAGAGAGAGAGAGAGAGAGAGAGAGAGAGAGAGAGAGAGCCCAAACATCTGAATGCTCATTCTACAGAACATGTGAGGTCTCTTAGCCACAGTCAGACAGCATTTCTTGAACTAGCCTTAACTAATGGCACACAAACTAGTGGTGGTTTAACTGGTCTTTAACTAATGGTAGTTGCCTTAATTGGGCCTGTGCTCTGGGGATCTCAGATCCCTGTATTTAAGGGATGTTTTATTATGCCTACCACAATCCTGCCCTTTTGTGTTGCCGTAAGTAAAATTATCTATAATTTTTTGTCAGTTAGTTAATGTGAATTTGTACCCCAGGGTACAGTTTAAAAGCATAATACCACTTAGAAAATCACAAGCATCTAAATTACCCGAACCTTTGCCAGCAATGACATGTGGTGAATTGAACAATGTAATAGGTATTTTGTAATTCTCTACAATGATTTTATAAAATTGTCATGATCAAATTAGGAACTAAAGAAGACAAATTCATTCCCAGTAGATGCCAAAATCTAATCACTTACTTTAATTTGAATTCATAGAGACAGAAGTAAGCAGGGCTATAATGAGACATATTGCAGAGAATTTGTGACTAGGTGGCATTACCCTTCAAACCAAAACTCTTTCAGGTTGGTAAATATTTGTATGAGTGTCCATATTTTTTTAAGAAACTGAATCTAATGCAGAATGAGTTCTGAGAGGGTGTGATTTCTTATGCAGGCAGTAGTGGGATTACCAATGAAGTAAATAGAAAAGGAAAGAGGAACTCAGTTCTCTCCAAATCCTGAAGTCCAAAAAACCATGACTACTCCTCTGTGTGTGTGTGTGTGTGTGTGTGTGTGTATGAATGATGTGTGCATGCACATGCATGTGTGCAGGTGAGTGCACCCATGCATGCACATGCACGTGTGCAGGTGAGTGTACCCATGGATGCACATAAGGAGGCCAGAGGAGGATACTGGGTGTCTTCCTCTGTCACGCTCCACCTTATTCCCTTGAGACAGGGTCTCTCACTGACCCGGAAGCTCAGTGTTTTCACTAGGCTAGCTGGCCAGTGAGCTCCCAGAATCTGACCACCTCTTCCCTGAAATGCCAGTGGTGTTACACAGATACACACCCATGCCCAGCTTTTACCTGAATGCTGAGTATTCAAATTCAGGTCTTCATGCTTACACAGCTGGTGCTCCAACTCACTAAGCCATCTCCCCAGGCTGAGTGTTCATTTTCAAATGTGCTTTACCAAACTTACACAGAACAATTATTACATAGAAAATTATTCTCCAAATTAGCATTTAAAAAATGTTTACAGTGGGCATGATGATGCATATCTTTAATCCCAGGATTGTGGACGCACATACAGAAAGACTATTGCAAGTTCAAGGTGAAACTGGGTCATAGAGTAAATTCCAGGCTAATCTATATAGTGACAATCTGTCTCAGTTTCCAAAGGAGTTCTTACCTTACGCAATCAAAATGTGGAAGAAAATGCTTAGAAGGATGAGCAGTTTTCAAAATATATTTTGTGCTAGTTTGTAGCTAGATAGGAGAATGCTTTCCAGGCCTAACCAAGGCATTAGGCCTCATCATCAGCATTGTAAAACAATGTGAAAATATACCTATGTGCATTGCATTCAGCCTTCTTGTCCAACCAGCCATACAACAGATGAGAGTAGACCATGTGACTCCAGAAAAGAATAGATTTTCTAAACAGCTTAGTTAATATCCTTGCTAATGTGAATGAGCATGACTCCAATTCCTATTTTAAGTCAATTTCCACTGTGATCTAGGTTTTGACTGAGAGGGGCTTCTTTCTATACATACACATTTTTTTTGTTTGTTTTTTTCTTTTTGTCTTTTTGAGACAGGGTCTCCCTGGAACCCCAGTTGTCCTGGAGCTCACTATGTAGACCAGGCTGGCCTTGAACTCACAGAGATCCACCTGCCTCTGCCTCCCGAGTACTGGGATTAAAGGCATGTGCCAGCACACCTAGCCTACATACACATTTTTTTTATACTGACTTTTCAAATTTTGTGTCAGCCTATGGGCAATTTCCCCCGAGAAGAAATATGAAGCAAATGCAGAAAACTGAACTCAGTTGAACTGAGTTGTGTAGGAAAACACAAAAGGTACATATTCACATGACTCCAGCATGTACTATCTCACATGCATCTAGGTGCCGTAGCTATCTGCACCTGCTGCAGCACATCCTGCTGATTTTGGAATGCCCCCTCCATGAGTCTTTCCAAGCTGCAGCCCTCTGCCTCACACTTTCCACAAGCAAACAAGGTTCTTCAAGAAGCGAACTATTTATTGTAGTATGTACACATGTGTAGGCCTTTCCATATGCGAAACACCGTGCTAGGGTTTTCAGTGGGTTCCTACCTCTTCCATTGTTATCACTGAGGGAACGTTTGACTATTGCGACCCCCTTCTTATCCATTTTCCTCATAAGCCTGTGGATTTTAGTGTGTTGTATTATACAGCACTGCAATTTTTCAGTGCATCCACTGTACTGAGAAACTGGGATGATGAAGAAGCTTGGTTTGGCATTCCCGAAGTAAACAGTAAACTAAACTACTAAAACTTCAGCATGACTTATTAAGACGTATCTCAAATATCTGTCCTGAAACAAGACCATATTGCATTTTCCTGTGTATCTTTCTGTTGCACCTTTAGTTACTCTACCCCTTTCTATGAACTGACTGGACCAGCATCAGTGTTGGAAGGCACAAGAAAAAGGGGGGGGAATGTAACTGTGTTAGTAGAGTGCTTTCCTCGAATACACAAGGCCCCAGTAAGGCATAAACCAGGTGTGGTAGTTCAAGCTGACATTGCCAGCTACACAGCAAGTTCAAGACCAGCCTCAGATACAGAGAACCCTATACACACAGAGACAAAGGCAGAGGGTGAGAGGGTGAGAAGGGGGCCCCTCTCCATTGCCACTCAAAGAACTGAACTGTGTTGATTAGAGTGAACATGCAAGACCTTTCAGCATTATTTCTGGTTAAAATTTTATCTGGGCTTTTTCAGGAGTCAGCTCAATTATCATCATTCTTCCCAGCAGGTTCTCCCAAGCCTAAACTTTGGTCTCACCGACCAATGAGGTCATTTCTTTCATACACTGCTCACACAAAATTGCTGAAAATTATTTACAAGAATGCTACAGTCACTTAGGCACATTCCCAGTGTGCACACTAAAAGGAGAATGTTTTTTTAAGGCTGCTATTACCTTGTCACCAGAGGAGCAAAATATGGCAAGAGCTTGTGATCACCAGTAAACTTTCCCAGCAGCAATCCTCCACTGTCGTCTTTTTTTCACATTACATCATACATTCATTTATGAGTTACTATAATGGTGCATTTCTGTGGATGGTTCAGGAACCCAGACTCTTCAGCCTTTAAGAGTTAATCTTGGTTTACAACAAAGAGATTTAACTATCTGAGAAGCAACATAATAGAAAATCTTGAATACAGTACTATTCATGAAGTCACGATGCTGGGTTTCAGCTCACAGCTAACTACTAGCTTAGAGACCTTGGGCAAGTCACCTAAGCTGTCTACGAACGCTAACAGTACCTACCTCATAGGCTTATTGTGGGGATATGTAACTGTTACACAGTTACAACAGCCATAACTTACCTCAGGTATACCAGAGCCACAGGCATATGGTGCAAACACACGAACCAAGGAGACAGCCAGAAACGCAAACAGCAATGCCCATAGGATGTACATCAAGTAATTCAGAATGTACGCACTGGCGCCCTAAACAGCAGACACAAAACAAGGAAGAAGCGATGAGCCACATCAGGCCTGCACGGCATACCCAGCCCCACCTACTCCATCAGAAAAGTAAAACTATGATGGGCACAGACATGTTCACCTTGGGCCTGTGCAAACAAAAGGACCAGTGTGGATTGTATCAGTTATTACTATTGCTATAGCCACTACACACAAACAGCATCAGGTGTTTCTCTTGGAGCTATTTACACAAACCTTCCAGTGGGTGAAGACTCAGCAGGGATGGAAAGAAAAAGAATGATGCTTGGTTGCAATCACCACTTGCAGTGTGGTTAATGAAAGGTGTGGCACAGGAAACTCTGTCTGCTGCAAGACTCTGGAAGATTTGTTTTGTCTTGCCTGTGGTGGGTTGGTCTCACCTGTCATTACGGCCACACCAAGACTACAGCATGCAATGCCAATGAATAAGTGTCAGTACTGCATTTGAGAACATTGCTTCTCAAAGGGTGGTCCCTGAACCAATAGCATCAGCATCACCTGGGAGCTTGGTAGAAATCTAACCTGTCGGCCTACCCTAGAGCTACTAAACCAGATACTTCAGGCAAGGGCACAGCCCAGTGCATTTTAACAAGCACTAACATTTGCAAGAAGCTCATAGAGGGTAGCTGTTTGTGCATCCTCTTCAGAAGTATGCACTGGACCATTTACTCCGAAGTATCTAATGGGAGATTTTCTTTTCTGATACAAACACACAGATCTTTCTGGTAGAGGACCAGGAAGTCAACCTTATTTCCCAAGGCTTCAGAGTCTTCCTACCATCTGGATTATTCAAGTAAAGAGAAAAGAAACAGAGATCACCTACCTGCCAGGTCATGGCCATGGCCATATGTACGCCTATTAAATGCAAAAGCACGTTCTGGGAGACTGCACCACAAGCACATATATTCACACCCTATGTGGTGAGAAATAAGACTGAGGAATACCTTTCCCCCACTTAAATATATATGTTCTGGAGGCTAAAAAAGAATTTCAGATAGTAATAATTTGAAACAAAGTATAAATCTTAAAACTAGTTGAAAAGATAGGCAGCCATATTTCCCCCTGAAATGTACAGCAGGAAGAGAAGAAATAAAAGATGGCATTTAGCCAATCCCACCTGCACACTCCCATCAAACCAAGTAGAGAATTTATTTTTTGAAATAATGGAGAGCAGTGAGAACGTGTGAGATTTCAAGATCCCTGTCTACTTCAGAGATGTAAAAGAATAAATCTTTAAGTCCACTAAGAGACAGGTTTAGCAAAATGGCAAGGTACATTCCACATGTCTTCAGCTATAGGAAGTCTGTCAAAAACAAATAGGGGAGAACTGGAGAGATGGCTCAGAGGTTAAGAGCATTGGCTACTTTTTCAGAAGACTCAGGTTCCATCTAGCACCCACAGGGCAGCTAACAACTGTAACTCCAGTTCCAGAGGATCCAAGACCCTCTTCTGGCCTCTACAGGCATTGCATGTATGTAATACACTTACATACAAGCAGGCAAAACACTCATACACATAAAATAAAAATAAGCTTAAAAATAGGCAGGGAAAGAAAGGACAAAAAAAGTTCCAGGCCAGCTAGGGCTACATAGTGAGACCCTGTCTCAAGTCAGCAAGTAAGTAAGCAAGCAAGCAAGGAGGGAAGGAGGGAAGGAGGGAAGGAGGGAAGGAAGGAAGGAAGGAAGGAAGGAAAATAAATGACAAGTATCTTCCAAGCATAGCTATAGTTTGAACAGTCTTCCCATTACCCCTAATATGATATTTGGTCAGCTAGCTCCCCTCAACTGACTTTCTGATCCATCAGTGACCCATTAATCATTGTGGTAAGCAACGAATTTAGTTAGAAGTTAACCCTTTCCTGAGCTAAGATATCCATAATAAACTGATTCATTTCTAAATGCTGTGAAGGCAAGCAAAAGCCTAGAAACATCCTTTGAAACTGGGTAAGAAAAAGGCCATGGAATATAGTAATGAAAACCACACACTCATTAGGAAAGCTAGAATAAAAACAGATAGTAACAAGTGTTGGCAATAAGGCAGACAATTCAGGACCCTCACATATTGTTCAGAGGAATGAAAAATGGTGAAACCACTTTGGAATACATTCTACAAGTTCCTCAGGTTAAACCTAGAGTTCCACTCTCAACAAGAAGTTCCACTGGTAAGAAGTTCCACTGTAAGGTAAATGAAACATATGCCTAAAAAGTTTCCTATACTGTGGCTGGAGAGATGGCTCAGTGGTTAAGAGCAGTGGCTGCTCTTGCAGAGGACTTGGGTTCAGCTCTCAGCACCCACATGGCAGCTAACATCCATAACTCCAATTCCAAGGAATTTGATGCCCTCTTCTTACCTCTCTGAGCAATGCATGACATGGTACACTTACACAAATGCAGGCAATGTACTCAGACACATAAAATAAAAATAATAAAATATTTTCAAATGCTTAAAAAAAACTTGAACATAGATATTCACGGTGACAGTGTTCATACTGCCAAAAAGAAGTAAAAATGATGTACCAATAAATAAAAGGCAGTCTATCACTAAAATGAAATGCTATCATGAAAAGGAAAAAACTGATCCACACTACAAGAAACTTGGGGAACACCATGCTTAGTGACACAAAGTTCACATATGATTTGGTACTTATTCATATAAAGTTTTCAGAAAGGAAAATCTATAGAGACAAAAAGAAGAGTAATGATTGCTTGGGATTTTTTTTCATTTTGTTTAGTTAGGGGGTGTTAGAGATGAGATTTTCTAAAATTTGTTCATGTTGATCAAATTTTACAGTTCTGTGACTATATCAAAAGCCATTGACTTGTACTCTATTTGGAAAGACCTTATGTACTGTAAATCAGCTCACTAAAGCTGATATTTCTAAAATAGGTATCTTTTCTACTCAATTAGAACATATAAAATCAACCCCATTTTTTAGCATGATGAAGAAACCAGCTTCCAGAACTTGGAAAGATGAAGCAGGAGGACTGTTATGAGTTCTAGGCCAGGGTGGGCTACAGAGTGAGACCCTGTCTGGAAAAATGGATGAATGAATGAATGAATGAATGAATGAATGAGGGAGAGAGACAGAAAGGGAAGAAAGGAAGAAGGGCGAGAGGGAGGGAGGAAGAGAAAGAAAAGGCAAGCACAAGCATTCCTAAAATGCACATACAATGCCCATGAAAGTGCGCAAGGGCTTTCCAAGTGAAGTGTGAGCAGCAGAGCTCGATGAAAACAAGAGGCACCACTGGTAAGCCAAGGGGGATTATCAGAAGTAAAAAGCATGGGTGTTCAGGAATTGTAGATGATGGGGATTCCCAGCCAGGACCCTGCACAGACACCTACCTCTGACTGGTTCACCAGAAGCTCTGACCACTTTTGCCACAGGGGACACTTATCCCTGTCCTCAAAAGTGGTCTCACTGGATGTCCAGCAGCACTGCTCATGGCTGTACCAGAAGGCAGACAGACAGACCCCCTCCTTCAGGTCTGTCATCCAGTCGACAGCGAGATCGATGACCCCAGCCAAGGTGCCTAAAAGAGGAGCAGGAATAACTCAGAGGAATCACCCAATAGAGAGAAGACAGAGGGCACATGAGGCTGAGGACACAAGTGTGTTATGGCTACTACTGAAATTGACATCTGCTTTTACTCACCTAGAAGTCACCTGAGCATTTATGGTATGACCCAAGCACTGAACACTCCAACTAGAGACACAAAGGGCTCAGCAGCTTAAATCAGGTAGGTGGTTCCAATCAGGTAGGTGGTTCTATTACATGGAGACTGCAGGGGGGATCTTAGGATGCACTGGTTCCAATCAGGTAGGTGGTTCTATTACATGGAGACTGCAGGGGGGATCTTAGGATGCACTGGTTCCAATCAGGTAGGTGGTTCTATTACATGGAGACTGCAGGGGGATCTTAGGATGCACTGATCAGTTTCCAAGTTTTTAAGATTGGCAATATACATTATTTTAAAAAACCATAACCTAATGCTGGCATAGCTACACATTCCTATAACCCCAATGTTGGGGCCAATGACACAGGAGGATCCTGGGAGCTCACTGGCCAGCCAACCTAGCCAAAACAGCAAACTTCAGGTTCAAAGAGACACCCTGCCTCAAGGAAATAAGGTGGAAGGTGATAGCGGAAGACAGCTGATATCCTTCTCTGACCTCCACACACACATGCATACACCATATGCACACCCAAATACACGCCATACACTAACAAACAATGCTCCCTTCTTTTTAAATGTATTCATTAATTTCGTTTATTTATGTGTATTAGCATTTTGCCTGCATGTATTTAACTGCATCTGTGTTGCACAACGCCTTCACAGGTCAGAAGAGGGCGTTAGACTCCCTGGAACTGGAGTTTCGAATAGTTGTTAGCTGCCATGTGGGTGCTAGGAACCAAACCTGGGTCCTCTGTGAGAGCATCTAAGGTTCTTAACTGTTCAGCCACTTCCCCTAACTTTTCCTTTTTTGATGGCTCATTCTCATGAGCATGGAAGTAATTCGTGGTCCCACATTCCCCTCCAGCCTCCATCCTCTTTCTGCCTTTCTCTTCACTTGCCTCATCCCAGTTCATTCTCTCCTTCCACTAAGAAAACCCCATGCAACTAAGGCAATGGCCTGAGCCTAGTCTTCATTTTCCAGAACAGATTCTGCAAACAAGAGCCAACAGGTCAAATCTAGCCCACTGACTTTCTATTAATAAAGTTTCACTGCAGTACATACTGTTTGACTATGTACCGACTGTCACTGTTTTGCTGCTACAGTGGCAGAACCGGATTCCTGAGACAGGAACTACAGGGCTCACAAAGCTGAAAATAGTAAAGGGTTGTCAACCCTAGGTTTAGACCTTTCAGCATCATTGGGAACTTTGGACAACGTCATTCTTTTGTAAATGCCTCTTCCCATGCGTTCTACTATGTTAAACTCTCTTGGTTTTGTCAGACAAAAGTGATGGGGAGATATGGGAGGAGTAGGAGGGGAGGGAGTGGGCGTGGATTTGATCAAAACACTTTCTATGCATGTATGAAATTCTCAACAATTTCTTTTTGTCTTTTTGAAGCAGGATCTCCCTGTAGCCCCAGCTGTCCTGGAACTCATTATGTAGAGCAGACTGGCCTTGAACTCACAGAGATCCACCTGCCTCTGCCTCCCAGGTACTGGGACAACAGGTGTGTGCCACCACGCCCAGCTTCAACAATTCTTTTAAAGTGAAAAAAGATATTGTGTATGAAATACACAAAACTCAATAAAAAATAAGATAAAACAACAACAACAAAAAACTCTCTGTTTCCTCCCCATGGCAGGCAATCTTCTGTTAGTATTCTACATTCCAGCGAGGTAGCACCTCCTTCGGGAGCCTTTCCTGATTTCCTAAGCATGATCTACGTGTGCTTTTAGGGTACTGCATATCTCCTGTCCTTCTACCATCTCTTTGCTATTCACATCCTAATATCATGATTAGCTACACAAATGTATGATTCTGTGTGTGTGTACACATATGTACCTATACTTCCACTAGTTTATATAGTGGGAAGAAAAGGTTTTAGTTATCTCGTTCCTGTGCCACAGTATGGGTCAAGCCAAGCATCTGGACCTTGGATCTTCTCCAAAAGACACACATATTGTATCAATCCATTTATATGTAATGTCCAGAATAGGCCAATATACACAGATAGAAAGTAGATTAGTCATGATTTAGGGCTGGAAAGGAAGGTTGGCCCTTCATAGCTAAAAGGTGCAGACAGTATTTATGAGGATGACAAAGCTATTCTAAAATTGGTTACGGTGATGGCTGAAAAACTCTGGGAATATACTAAATCCCACTGAATTGTAGACTTTAACTGAGTTAATTGTACAGTATGTAGATTATAACTCAGTAGTAATGCTGTTACATACACACGCAGCAGGTGAGGGAGATAGGCTCAAAGAGGGAGAGATGTGAATTTCCGTGAAGTTACCAGAGAAAGTTTCAAGTGAGTGACATTTGAACAAGATTCGTTGAGCACCCCAAGTTCCATTATTGTTCACTCACAATTGCATTATTCCACACCCAATCTCATTTGCGGATTCCAGTTGTTTTGGGAGTGCTCCCTGCTTTGTTCAATGGTGCAACAGTGCCACCCTGTGGTAGATCCTGGTAAATTAGCTGTGCAGAAGACAGGAGCTTTCCATAAGGGAGCCCAAAATAAAACAGTCCAGGAGCCACTAAGGGGATAACCAGCCTGGCAGCTGGACATTGGAGTCCCCTCTACCATCAGAGCACTGGGAAATGGTACAGCTTGCTAGATCTCCCTCCAATAGGCATCCAAATCCAAAGAACAGTTGAGGAGCCTGTTTCCAATAGCCCATCATTCTTCACCCTAGTGCTTGCTACTGTGTCTATAGGATCAGCTTTCTAAATGTCTCTTGCCTCTGACTGCACATTAAGATCAAGAAGGTGGCTAGAAGATGGCTCCGTGGTTAAAATTTCTTACTATTCTTGCAAAGGACCCAAAGTTTGATTCCAAGCGCCCATTTCAGGCAGCTCACAACCACCTATAACTCCAGCTTCATCAGCCTCTGGCTTCTGCATTCATGTGCACATACCCCACACAGACACAAACACATACACACAATTAAAAGTAATTTTTTAAAACTTAAGATTATGAAGTGGAAAGGAGAGGGTCTTCACAGTGGCAGGGTGTTCTCTCCAAAAAGGCAGTTTAGTTGAAGCTCGGTAATAGCATATTTAAGTCTTCCAGTGATTCTTTTTGAATGGACTGATGGGTACTGAGATTAGGAAAGTGGATAATGAGAAGTCTCCAAGGGTCAGAAAAACGTACAGGCTGGATGCAACTGGACTGGACTCACCTCAGATCCTGTGGGTGACTACCATTATTTTGAATGTCACAGCATTTTAATCTGTCATTTCAGGGTTTGCAATTAGTAGGAAAAGCCAATCTCATGCAGATTAAAATATTTCCAAATTTAGTCAACCCCCTCCCCACAACCATGTACAATAGAATATAAAATGTGTTTCAGTAAGTACCAGGGATGCTCATAAACCTATTCATTGTGTGAAAAGAGCCAAGCAGTGCTGTCATAGCTTTCCAGAAGCCCACACTTGGACTCCTGCGTTGGACTTGATGGTAGATTCTAGAAGAAACACATGGAGACATATTTTGCTCTTAAACATTTCAAGCGGTAAGTCCCTTTGATAGAGTTAAAAGAGAAACACTTCAGGTCCAGTGTCCTTCAAGACAGCTTGGGAGTTCCATGGGAGCACGGCACGCCTCTAAACATACCTGCCAGCAACCCAATAAGCAGCATCACCACCCATCCTGACCAGGCATCCAACAGACTCTTGATGAACTCCCAGATCGACTCCTTGCTTTTGCTGGTTATCTAGGAAGGAAGCACAAAGAGCAGTTATCTCTCAGGACACATTTCCAGTTCATGCTTCTTCCCTTGAAATGCTTTCCTTGGGAAACAGAGCCATTGAGAAGATGAATATAATTTAGCCACTAAATTCCCAATCACGTTTTTCTTGCAGCAACACATCACAACGATCAAATGGGCTTTCCAGTTCACAAGGCTATGAAGATGTCATAGTGCTCTTCAAAGAATTACAGTACCTAAAAAGGCACTTAATTTAAAAACATAGTGAGTCTGGTTTGCTCTTTGATTATTTAAAATCCATTCTGAAGGGAGACATTGATCCCGGGTAGCCAGTTGGAATATGAGTAACTATTTTAACTTATGTTGTAAGGTCTGTTCACTGAAAAGCCTAGCCAACCGACTGCATTGCCTACACTGAGGTTCCATTTTCCCAGCATGAGCTTTATACCCACTATGTGGAACATGGCTTTGCACAGCACATATACAAGCCAGTGCACATGAGGATAGTGCTCCTTTCCTTCCCCATGCTGGTAGAGCCTTGCAACATCATCCCCCTCCCAACAGCTTGCAGTGCTGCTTGACAAACATTTCTGTTTCCCTCCCACACACCTACTTGCTTCTTCCAAGTCTCTGGCTCTGACTGCCACCTGCCTCTCTCTGTACCTAGAAAATCCTGACATTTCCCAGGCCGTGCTTCCCCCGCCGCTTATTTTTCTACTTTCCCCCTTTCATGCCAACCTCCATGGAATGACATGACACAATACTCTCTGCTTCAGTTCTGCCTGAAGAAGCTCTTCCCTAGGAGCGTTGAATTGCACCTACCTCACCTGTCTGAAAAGGGTGACACTCCCTCCTCTTCCTACTGGGGAACACTCCTGACAGGATCCCCCTTCACCCATACCAACTTCTTCCAAGTCTATGGCTCTGACTCTACCTGCCTCCTTCTGCACCTAAAAGACCTTGACTTTTCTAGGGCTCTGCCCCACTCCCTGCTTCTTTCTTTAGGGACTTGGGCTCCTCTGGCCACTCCTCAAGTTTCAGCAGCCATTTCTATGCTAGGGGCCCTTCAATTTCCAGGGAGAGCCCTAACCTCACACTGGGTTATAGAGTTCTTGGTTTGCTGATTCTCAGGCTTCCTATCATCACATCTCACCCTTTCCTCCACTACTTAACAGAGGCATAACCTGATCTAACCAGAGTCTACTGTTCTTTAACTCCACTCCCTCCCCTAAAGCCTGCCCATGGCTTGACCCTATCCCTGTCTCTGTGTTCACTTCTCGGCCTTCAGGCAGAATTCCCCCTTTCTCTTGAACACACTTCTAGCTTCCTATTTTCCCCCTTCAGTACATCTTTACTGTACTCTAGCCTTCAGCACAAACTTCTCCCTATGGTCCACTTAATCATTCCCAACACAGCCCCATGGCCCACATTTTTAGATTTATCTCCATTTCTTTCTTTCTGTGAACCCTCCCACAAATCCCAGGACTTCCCTGAATGATCCAAATATACACGTTCTTTCAGGCTTCTGTAACTTAAAAATGTTACTCCTGGTGTTTAGAACCCTGTCCCTCTCTGACTAGCAAATTGTTAGTTTTACTTAGAGACCAATTAAAATTTTACCCTTTCTGAAAAACCCTGCCCTGAGTTCCTCCTAAATGATTCCACAGCACTTGCCATGTTGTGGCCCATTCCAGTGTACAATGATTGCCAGCTAGACGCACTGCCATGCACCAAATGCATTTGCTGTTTGTTTTTAGATAAGGTCTCCTATAGCCCAGGCTGGCCTTCAACTCACTATGTCACTGAGAATGCGTGGAATTCCTGATCCTCCTACCTCTGACTCTTGAGTGCTGGGATTCTAAGCATGTGCCACCATACCCTGTGTGATAGTTTAAGTTTACACTGATTGTCAGCTAGATGCCTGGCAGTGAGGTGATGTGCTTACACACACACACACACACACACACACACACACACACACACAACACAATCTCATTCAGTCTTCAGTGTAATCACCTTCATCCTCAAGGAAGAAAAAATGAGGCCCAGAAATGTCAGCCCCCAACTCATCCAACCTGAAGGTGTCAATGGCAGGATGTGGCTCCAGTGTGTCTGTGTCTGGTGCTGGGGTTCCTTCCTTGGTTACACACCACATTTTTATCCAAAAGTACCTGCTATTGCTTCTCAGTCTGTATCTCTGCCTTCCTACTAGCGCCTTCCCTCTATGGAATGAGCATGTGATTTGCAAGCCTCAGACATAGCTCCTAACCTACAAATGGAAGCACAGTGGAGCCATCAGTAGATACTGCTTTAGCGTTGTGCCACCTACCTTTCTGTGTCTGTCAGTGTCCCGGGACTTTTCCCTAAGCCAGTCTATGGTATGGAAGTCTTCATAGGTCCCCACATCAGGGAAGGGTTCGTCGAGGAAGTCCATCAGGTTTCCAGAGCCACTCATGGCTCCTGCACTGACCATGCTAGTTACTCCTGGAAGAGAAATCCAGCTATTAAACTGTAAACAGGGCTGGTGAGAAGACCAGGAAGAGTGCCTGCCTAGCATGCATGAGGCCCTGGGTTAAATCCTCAGCTCCACAATGAATCAATAAAGCAGGGTTTCTACAAGAACATGGCAGAATAATTCTCAAACTCCATTTCCTTTTCTTTTACTTTTTTTTATTCAACACACTGAGCATAGAACCTTGTAATGTATGTTTCTGTTGAAATACACTATATTTTTGTATACATAATTTATACAGTATCACTAAACTCAACTAATTGCACCACTGCTGAAGTTTGAACTAAGGTTCTCTGTCACACCTTTTTTTTCCCACAAAGCCCATCACAAACAACCTTCTCACACATGGGAACATGAGTAACAGTGCAGCATTGCATTTCAATGTCACTTTAAATAACAAAATTACCAACAAAGGGAACATAGTATTTTTTAAGTGAAACTGAACACATCAGAAAAAGGCCACTTGTTCATAGTATGACAGTGGAAACACTGGCAGAATGTCATCTTCTTGGGTCAAAGCTGGCAGTTGTGCTTCTAACAACTTGAACTTTTTGCCATTCTGCACAATTTACAAGTCAGTGAACAATCTCTAAAGCACTACAAGTACTGACTCTGGAGTACTATAGTTTGGTTGTTGAATGTGCCCTAAAAGTCTATGTGTTGCATACTTTACCCTCATGGAGGTGCTATTGGGGGGGTGGATGAAACCTTTAAGTGGTAGAGCCCTATAGGGCTGGAAAGACGATCAGCAGTTAAGAGCACTGAATGGTCTCTTAAGAGGACTCAGGTTTGGCTCCCAGCATCTATACGGTGGCTAACAACCATCCACAACTCGAGCTCCAGCGGTTCTGATTCTCCCTTCTGGCCTCGACCAGCGTCACATGCAGGGGTGCACTTGCAAACACGTAGCCAAAACATTTTTAAAAATAAAAAAGAAGTGAAGTCTAGTGGAAGGTCCTTAAGTGATGAGATGTGTACCCCAAAGGGGAGTGTGGGGGTCCAGCTCCTCCCTCCCATCTTGTGTCCTGAATGTAATGTTAAATGTCTGTTCCACCACAAAGTCCTTACTTGATGTCATCATAATCCTAAAGCAAGGGGGGTAACTGATCATGGGCTGGAACTGCCAAGACCATGAGCTAAAACAAACCTTTCTTCTTTATAGGTTGACTAGATCAAATATTTTGTTACAGTGACACAAAGTTGACTAACACATAAAGTGGCACATTTTAGTAAATACGCAAATTTGCAAATACAGTCAATGAATCATGACCAACTATATACATTTGCAAAGAACCTCATGTATTTCAAAAGGGACATAGCAAAAGGAAAGAGTCAGAGAGGCAAAAAAAAATGTAATCAAACTAATCATTGGTTCTTCTGGAAGGCAAAATAGACTAGAGACGCAAGCAGATTATGTGGCTGTCACCACAGACATCCAAATATACAGGAGATCCAGAGGCACTTTCATTCAACAGTGACAGTCAAAGCAATCTGCAGGTGGCAGCAGCCCTCTACCATTGAGGTAGATAAGAGCAGTAGGACAGTCTGGCATGACCCAAGAGCCACGCAAGGCTGGCAGCACAGTGTCCTGGCCAAGAGGCTCCCAGGCCAAGAGGCTCCCAGGCCAAGGGGCTCCCAGGCCAAGAGGCTCCCAGGCCAAGAGGCTCCCAGGCCAAGGGGCTCCCAGGCCAAGAGGCTCCCAGGCCAAGGGGCTCCCAGGCCAAGAGGCTCCCAGGCCACTCATTTTTTTTTTTTGATATTTGTGAGACAGGGTCTCCCTGTAGCCCCAGATGACCTGGAACTATGTAGACCAGGCTAGTCTCAAACTCACAGAAATCCACTTGCCCTGCCTCCCAAGTACTGGGATTAAAGGCATGTGCCACCACTCCTGGCCAGACACTCATTTTTATTTTTTTCTTAAAATACAGTCAAAAGAGCTCCTGCTGTCAGGACAGTAAAAGAGTTGAATGCCTAAGATAACAATTCCATCCCCATTCTTCAGTTTCCCCTGTTCTGGAAACTAATCCCAAATGAATCTCCCATGTTCCCTGCCACCCTCAGAGTCTCATTTCTAGATCACATAGGAACCAATTTGAGACATAGAAAAATTTTATAGCAGGACCAATGCTCATCCAAGTTAGCAGAAAAAAAATCATTCACTTGTACAGAGACGGGAAGCTGGAAAACACACTAAATAAAAATTACTTTGGCAAAAAGCATGGAAATTTGAATTATAGGATAAGGACCACAAAAGTCCTGGAATCAATGGTTAAAACACTGAAGGTAGTTACAAAAATATTTGAGTGTGGACTTTTCTCCTTCCTTTATATATTAATGTATCTGGAGTGCTCAACCATGTCCTGATGAAAATGCACTTTAATCAAATTAAAAAGTCACTATGGGCAAAGTAGGGTAATCAACTTACAAGCAATAAAACCACCCCAGTGACTGATTTATTGACCATCTGTGCAACTCAGCTATTTTCAGACTTTGGAAGTTTGAGGTCTAAGCTGTGCCAAGTTGAAAACTATACCTACTCATGAGTACCCAGGGAAGAATCACATTCCATAAGTCAGTAGCAACCAATAACATAACCAATAATATAAGGGAAGGAATAAACTTAAAAAGCAGAGGTATCATTCTCATCTTTACAAAAGCAAGATGGTTATAATCTCTCACGATATGTGGTAAAGAAAAATCTCTGATGGGGGAAGATAAGATGACAGGCTGCTGACCCACAATGCAAAGGCCTTGTCAAAAAAAAGCTCAGCTGACAGAAGAATTGCACAGGCTTTGACAGTCTACTAAAGAGAGATAGATGCTGGACAGGGTGACTCATGCTTGTAATTCCAGCACTTGGGAGGCTGAGACACAAAGATTGCCTTGAGTTCAAGACCACACTGGGCTACAGACTGAGACACTCCCTAAAAACAAACAAAAAGTAGTTGATACAACCTAAAACGTAACCAAATCTGTCATACAACTACTCTAGGCAGAATCCTCTGTTCACCATTGTGTGTACCATATCAGCTGGCCTGCCAGTTTCCAGGGATTCCCGTGTCTCAATTTCCCATCTCATCATAGGAGCACTGGGATTACAGATGAATGGGTATGCTAGTGCACTCAGCTTTACATGGGTTCTGGAGACCTGAAGTCAAGTCCTTACCCTTGCATGCCAAGTGCTTTACTCACTGAGTCATCTCCACAGCCCATCCATATGTAGACTTTGATGGAGCATGTCAAGTATCACCATTAGGATCAGAATTAGTAGAAGAAAGTAAACATGATCTAGTCGACTGAATTTTGATTACCTCCCAGGGACCTCAAAAGAGTTGGTGACATCACTTCTGAGATTGGGGTTAAGAGTTGAGGAGAAGAGAGGGCCAGGAAAGTACAAAAACAGAATCTGGGTGGGAAAAATGGAAGGGACACTATTTGGGACCCAGTGCGATGGAAGGGATGGAGGACAATCTTGAGTCCATCCAGATATGGGTATAACAGGTTAGTGTGTGGCTTGGATCTCCCACCTGAGAAATAACCTTAACAATTCTGTCAGCTCAGTTTGGTACGGGAACCCTGAGTTTGCTCCTTTTACCAGTTTTCTTTCCTTATTTCTAACAGGTACATTTCTTCTGGCAGATGACAGCTCTGCTAATGACATGAGGTAATGGTTTCAATGGCACATCCTGCAGCCTGGCACTGAGATTTCTGCCTGTTCTGGATCACCTAGATCAAGTCTCTACAAATTGCAATCCATGGGAAAAATCGGGCTACCGAGCTTTGCAAATAAAAGTTTACTGGCACACAGTCATACCTACTTGTCTATGCCTCTTCTCATGCTGCAACAGCAGAACTAAATAGATAAAGCAAAAATCACAAGACCCACAGCATCTAAAACACTTACTATCTTTCTATAGAAAGTATTTGTTGACCCCGATCTATGCAGGATCGAAAAAACGGTCCATATTCTATAGCACAGTCTGAATCCACTACCTTTCCAATGCGGATTAGCAGCTTCCCTTCATTAACACATAGAATCTGTTTCCCTACTCCCTGAATCAGGGCTAGTCTTCTGACAGATGAAAGAGCATACATATGCTAAGCTAGAACCCAGGAGACAACACAGACTCTACTTGCTTTTTGTTTTCAGGCCTTGACCTCCACCATAAGAAGCAGCCTCAGGAGCCTGGTGTGTGGTACTCACCTTTAATCCCAGCACTTGGGAGGCTGAGACAGGGAGATGAGTATGAGATCGAGGTTAGCTTGGTCTCCATAGCAAGTTCCAGGCCAGGTGGGCCTAGAGGGAGACCCTGTCTCTCTTTCTCTGTCTCTCTGTCTCTCTCTCGCACACACACACACACACACACACACACACACAGTTAGAATGCTGGGTGATATCAGGTGGAATTGCACTGGCTTTCCTGAGCAGGTGCATCCCATACTATCCAGGCCCAACTGACCATGGGTACATGAGTGAGCCCAACCAAGAGAGACAGTTTTGGTCAAGCAAACCAACCAGCTAACTTGCAGGCTTGGAATGATATGACATAGTTATTGACGGGCCCTTGGTATACCTGCACTCTATGGCATGTGCTTAGCACATGTAAAGCCCTGGACTCAATCCCTAATGCTGAGAATTTAAAAAAAAAAAAAAAAACAAAAAACGTTATTTTTTAAGTCACTAAGTTCTCTGAAGGAATCGTTATGGAACAGCGTAACAGTAGATAACAGAATTTACTTGGGCTCTAGAAAATGAAACCTTTGTGGAAAGGCAAAGCAACTGTACTGTTAAGGGGGATTAGAGCAGCAATGGATGAAAAAGCCCAGCAGGGACAGGATGGAATAGAATTTTCCCTAGCTCATGCTGTTGGTATTCTGCCGGAGAAGATAATATCTCTACTACACAACTATTATTTACCTACAAAGGGATTTGTGGAAGACTAAGTCTTTTATCTGATTGCTTAAGGCAAGAAAGTTTTTGTAAGGCTTAGTTTCAGCATGAAGCCCCCAAGAGGCTAATATCAAAGCCTTCAGCAGCATTTGATAACAGACCCTGTCCCTTAAACTCAATTCTCCAGAGCCCAACAAAGACAAGTATGTATTAGGAGTGATAGCATCAATGATGCAATTTAGGACTTTGAAGTTGAAAGGGACTCTGAATGGGTCCACTGAATGGGTTGGTTCACTCTCAGAATAGGGATGTGTATCATTTAAAGGAAACCTAGATGGTACATAGTTGGGTGTTGGTAAAAATGTAATGGACTCTAGAGATGAAAGAAAGCAGGAAATCACTTGGATAAAGATCAAGAAGGACAGATTTGAAGAATAATCAAGGCTTTACTAAGTCTAAAAGAACATGCCACTCTGGACTAAAT